CCCATTTTTGACAACAAAACGCCACCGCCGCCGCCTGACGGACGTGTAACAACTCTGATCCCTCCCGTATTAACCGACCGACAGGTTCGAAGCACTGTTATTTCGGGATTCGTATTCACGTGCCCTAATGTGGGTAAGCATAATTGATGGACAGCGGCCGTGGCGCTAAACCAAATATTTGGTAAAAAAATATTTCTTTGTAAAGGTACCGGACTTATAAATGCACGATCTGGCTCGTTAACTAAATGATGGGATGAGGCGTCATGAGGTATAGATCCAGACAGACATAATACATTAGTATTGTTACGTGTCGGGATGGGGTTCGAAATTATATGCCAGTTCACGCTTGACAGTTCTTTATTCACCACACAGTCCACACAATTAACACACAATGTTAATTACAAATCACTCACTAAACACTGTATTTCACTATACAAGACTCAAAACAATCTCACTTGAACACTTTTGTTGCACTTGAAATCGTTGTTGAAACTCAACTGTCTCTGCGCGGCGCCAATCGCGCTTATATACGCCGATCGACGCATTCTAGAAAGTACCTGTTAAATTGAGAATTACCTAGCACCCGCGAGTACGAAGTACCTACTTATACCTACGCAGGTAACGCGCATAACTTGTAAACAAGTGCAGATGTCGTTGCACTTTCTCCCTTACGCGGCACTGCATAAGGCTCATTTTAGAATGAGGAGCTGCATTACTCGACCTCCATCGCGACCCGCGGTGATCTGGCAAATTCGATCTCTAGCACTTTCGCGGTTACGTTAAGAGAGCGTTTGTGACAATATAAATATTTATATCAACGAACGAATCGGAGCCGAGCTGCCGTCTAGTGAATAACCTCCTTGCAGAACACCGCAGTGGCATAAGATTACCTTTTGGTGGTGTTTTATTTCTGTTGGTGAGTGCTTCCAGAGGTACACAGACCAGGGGATGGGATCAAATAGGTACATTGGTGGTTTTCCAATTACAGAGCATAATGCGACTCAGTGGCGCACAATGCCGAATTATGATGATGCTTAATTGAAACGTGAATTAGTTTTCAAATGCACCAGCTGAGTGCGCTAAGTTCAGTGTTGAAAAAAAAGTCAATGTCATCATCCATACTTTTATTTATTTTTTTAACACAGTTTGAATTAACTTTGATTATTAGAAAAAAAACTATAATGAAACGAAAGCTTTAATAATTTTTCAACAATATATAATACTAGCGGCCCGCCCTCGCTTCGCTTCGGTGTAGAGCTGAAGTGTAGACTACAGTTTTTGTTCTCAGACTTGTATTATACACAATGACATTCATCTATGATTCTTCTTATACCTGCATGCAAAGTCTCAGCCCGATCGGTTTAAAATTGATAAAGTTTCATACAAACTTTCATTCCTTATTTTATCCCCTTGGGATTTTCTTTATATTTTTTTCCGTAAGAAACTTGTACAGAGTATTAGAAAACTACAAAAAAAAAAACAGCCAAATCGGTCAAGCCGTTTTCATGTTATGTCGTGACAACGGAAAACGGGTTTCATTTTTATATATATAGATTACTAACGATAACATGTAAATGAAACATTTCGTTCAATGCCAACTTAAAGAAAAAACTCGATAATTTTCTGTCACTGAGTTGGTACGATTGCACGCATCACACGAAAGCATTACTTTTGAGAGTGCTCGATTTTGCGAAGCATTGCTGTAGTTGAAACACTCAACGTTAGACATTATGCCGCATAATGCGCTCTAGTGCTGTAATTGGAAAACTACCATTGGTATCGTAAGTGTCTACTGGCAGTTGTAGTAGCTGATCATTACACATGTCATTACGCTGCCTCTGTAACCTTTTCCCAAAGGGTAAAAAAGTGGCCCTATTTCTAAGACATTACTGTGCGTCTATCGGCCTCTCTGTCACCTGGCTGTATCTCATAAATCGTGATTGCTAGACAGTTACTAAAATCAGAATAAAATAAAAAATTATGGGGCCTCCTATACAACAAACGTGATTTTTTTGCCGTTTTTGCTCGTTAAATAAATCTAATGTTGTATAGATAAGGGTACGGAACTCGACTCGCACTTAGCCGGTTTTTATATGAAGAGGATCGACGAAGTTTCGGAAAAATAATGTCTGTTCACATATCATAAACAAAAAATTGTGTGTGTCAGCTCCGACGCACGACTGGAGTTTACTCCTTAAGTTCGATAGTCTATCCAGAAGCAAAAAGAGTTTATTTAACTTAAAAAAGATTAATACTGTATGAAAGGGTAAATTAACAAATTAATGAAAATAATATACATATATAAATATATATTTATTCATTTCATATACATTTATTATAACTAATCGACGAAATATTTTACATTAAACTTTTTACAATAGTCAATTTCAGATGTGCATAAATAAAGGTACGCTACGATACTGTGCTACGGTGTAGCACTACGGCTGCTACAGCGTAGACAGTAAAAACGTAACGAGGTCAGTCATCGATAGATTTCACTCCTCACATTTTTCTCATACCGGGCCCCTTATATATGCAAATCGATTCTTAAGGAGTAAACTCCAAAAATATCGGCGAGTTACAGTATGAAAATTTTGTATTTTGTTGATTCCCAAAGAACTTTTTGTCCCATTTATATGTTCTATTGGTATAACAATCAGTAGAATAGATAATTAAAAGCAAAGCCATAAAATGAAAATATACAATTTATTAAAAGCGTAAACCCTTTTGGATAATTTCTTCTGTTTTTGTTTATTAGCGCTGCAGTATTAGATAGGGTTCGCTCGCATCTGAGTGTTGGTTGATGGTATCCAATAGCCTGCCACTTGATATAGGGTTGTCTGTTGAACGACGATATTTTATATCATAATATTTGTTGCTTTATACAGCAATGTGTCTGAAACGGCCATAATTGCATCAATATTTTTTAGCTTTCTCTACTTCTTCTTCATTCATCATCATCAGCCTATTAATGTCCCCACTGCTGGGGCACAGGCCTTCCCTATGGATGGAATAGGGAGATTGGGCCATGACCCACCACGCGGGCCCAGTGCGGATTGGTGGGTGCTAACAACTACAGATGCAGCCGGGACCAACGGCTTAACGTGCCTTCCGAAGCACGGAGGGGCTCGAGATAGTAAATGTTTGGTCACCCATCCAATGACCGATCACTGCGAAAGTTGCTTAACTTCAACGATCGCAACCGAACGCGCTAACCACTTGCGCAATCGAGCTCCTCCTGTCTTCTTCATTATAAGCTTTTAATTTGAAAAATTTCATACTTTTCTAAGAGCAAAATATACTTACAAAGGGGTATGAACATTTTCTTTAACATCACAATCAGCTTATTACCGTCCCCAGTGATGGAGCATCTGATGGATTGGAGATTGGGCCCAGGGTCCACATCGCAGCCTTAATGCAAATTGGAGAGTGTAAATAAGAACGTACTTTCTGAAGCACGGAGGAGCTCGAGATGATAAATTTTGTCATGGAAATTAGTGTCTTTTAAATTAGAGCTTTAATGATAAGTTACCTACATTAGTATAACGAAGTTGATTTAAAAAAAAATCGAATTAGTCTAGCTATTCAAAGGGGGAACGCTGCCAGTATCTTCGGAACCTTGCCTAAAGGGACTCCTTTTAGTAATATATTTTAGTTATTATATTAATTTTTTTAAGAGTCATTGTTCCTGTATATATTAATGTACATATATATAAGACAATATCTTTTAATGGAAATTGTAAAAGTAATTAAACCAATGTGTTGCTCTGAAAACAAAGATTTTATTTAAGTATGTATGTAGGTTAAAACATTTATTATTCACTACACTTTTTACTATCTACTATAAATCATACTAACTTACCTGAAAACAAAGAAACGACATTTAAAGTCTTTTACTTAATAAAACAATTCCTTCCTTTACAATAATATTTTAAAACTAGCGGACCCGACAGACGTTGTCCTGTCTACACGTCTTTGTGAATCTAAACCATTCTCAGATCCCCTTGAACACACACAAAAAATTTCATCAAAATCGGTCCAGTCGTTTAAGAGAAGTTTAGTGACATACACACTCACAGAAGAATTATATATATAAAGATAATCAAATAAAAATATCACGGCTCGTTCTGTCAAAGCGACACCATCTGTCAAGTGACAGTTTTATTATTATGGTCGCCCGAGAGACAAACTACTTAAGAAATAACAAATTAAATAACTGACTATAAAGAGGTTCTTTACATATATATATTTCAGTGATTAAATCAACTTCGTAATACTAATGTAGGTAACTTATCATTAAAGCTCTAATTTAAAAGACACTGATTTTGTCACACATCCTATGACCACCCATTACGTAAGTTTTTTGGCTAACACATGTCATCATAATTATGACTGATTTGACAATTAATTGTTTATACCATAATATTTCAATAAATCGTTTTTTTTACCAGTGAGCAGCCCTTGAATCTCTCGCCGGTCGGCGAAGGGCCCTAGAGGCGTTAATTAATGCCATGGGAAGGCTTTGTTCAACCCCCGCGGCACTCGCGATCGCTGTAACTCGACGCTATCTCCGCTCTCTTAGTCGCTTTCATTGAGCTTCCTCAAGAATGCTTACCTACTATGCAGTACAACAACTTATGACTAAAAAAGATTTCTGATAATTCAAATTAGTATCCCCAGCATTCCCAGCTAAATAAATCATTAGTTAAATGTATTATGATTTTTACAACTCAAAAAAAAAAACTAAATTGTACTAAAGAAAGGTTAGTAAACAAGGAGGTGTGGGGCGAAATTGCCTTATTCAGTTCAATCACGATAAAGTGTTTTCGCTCTTGGGAGTTGAAATTACTTTCCTTATATACATAAGTGTAATATGTAAGGATGGTACGTAAATTTTAGAGCTGGCTGTAAGTAATGAGAATGGTTGATAATAGTGTAGCGGAGCCGTTTCCGTCGCTCGGTAGTCGTAAAACGTAATCCTTACAACACCGCGCAAGCCGCTACGGCACGGAGGCGTTACTTGCTACGACCAACACCAGTGCTACGCCGTAGCGGGAGGAAAGGATCACATGAAATTTATGTGTCACTTCGCAGCCACTTCCATTCCTTGCCCTGCGAAACTGGGATCAAATAGAGTTTCTATTATAAAATAATGCTTTTATTAAGTGAAACGGAATATACAATTTATAGGAAAATATCGTGCTGTTCTTGTGTTTGCATAAGCTTGAGAATTATTTGAGAGTCTCCATTGAAATTTTACTGATTAAAGAAATATTGAAACAAATGATTTTAAGTGAATTATTATTTTATAATTATTATCGTTATCCAGTCTGTCCAACATATTGAACCAATTTACTTTCATTTCATCTGACTTTATACGAAAGGTTAAATTGGCAATTTGTGTTAAGGAAGAACAACATCCTGATAAACAATTTTCCTTGCACAACTGGAGAGAGCTCTGGATGAGCCAGAGAAAGTAATTTAAACACAAAAGGTCTGTAAAACGAGCAAGTGTATCCTGTTAAAGCACTCGCGCTGCGCCGTGAAGACAATGGGCTAATCTTGCGAGACGAGGCTTCGCGAGGGGGGAGAGGCAGCTTGATGGCAAATAAACAGGCTTTGTTGCTTGGATACAATTTTAAACACTTTGCACTGAATAGAGTTTTAGATAACACGCTAACATTACTGAAGTTAAGTAATGTCAGTTTATAATATGGTTTATCTATACTTATAATAAATCTGTAGAGAGGTCAATTCTGTACATGAAATATATTTTCAAAATAACTATCAGGGGGTGATTAGTGATCGATATTGATGCCAAAAATGCAATCAGTAAAATTTTTGTCTGTCTGTCTGTCTGTGTGTATGTTCCTTATAGAAACAAAAACTACTCGACGGATTTTAACGAAACTTGGTACAATTATTCTTCATACTCCTGGGCAGGTTATAGTATACTTTTCATCACGCCACAGTCAATAGGAGCAGAGTAGTGAAGGGAAATGTTGGGAAAACGGGTGAAGTTACTCCATTTTTTTAGCTTCCGTTGCGTGTGCAGCCTTAATGGTTAAAGTTACATAGAAATGATGTATGACGGAAATATTCTATATAAAATTGTCTAAAAAATATCCCGCATCAGCATATGTCTATCTTTTATGGTTGACTCACAATAACACGTGTAACTCCTGACAGCTTTGCAGTTCGGAGCATTCTGATTATATTTGTTTACTCTTACGTTTACAATACTCTCACTCATCCCTAATTTAAAAAAGTTAACATTATTACCTATTCAATAAAAAAATAATCATAGAAATCGGTATAGAAACACCAAAGTTATACATGAAATAAGTCATCGCGCCGTCGCACGTGAATAGTGAATCATGCTATAAGGATTATTTTTGTGTAACGGTTGCCGCGCTCGACACGGGTCGCGGCGGCGGTAGATATAAGAAGAATGCCATTGTGTATAATACAGACCTGAGAACAATAACTATAGTCTACACTTCAGCTCTACACCGAAGCGAAGCGAGGGCGGGCCACTAGTAATAAATATAAGTAAAGAATGATTTGTCAAAGAAGACAAAAAAGGTAAATATAATTTGAACTGTAATTCTGGTCGTCAAGTAAAGATCTTGTACGATCAAAACCAGGGACAGTATATGAATTGGCTCAGAAAATACCATTTGTATTTGTTACTTTATGTAAGGCGCCGTCAATTCGCAAATTGTATATTCCAAGGTGAACAACATTGTACCACTTATTGTACGGATTCCCCTTACATTAACGCTATCTGATATCTTTTTCTTCGTAAACATAAATATTTCTCCGTAACTCACTTTTGGTGAAACGGATAATAATATATATATATATATATATAACTAGCGGCCCGCCCTTGCTTCGCTTTGGAGACAAGTGAAAAAGACAGAAGTGTAGACTACAGTTTTTGTTCTCAGGCACAAGAATTATACACAGGAATTATACACAATGACATTCATCTATGATTCTTCTTATACGAGCATGCAAAGTCTCAGCCCGATCAGATTTAAATTGACAAAGTTTCATACAAACTTTCATTCTCTATATAACCCCTTGGGGTAGAATTGATCAAAATCCTTTCTTAGCGGATGCCTACGTCATAACATCTACCTGCATGCCAAATTTCAGCCCGATCCGTCCAGTGGTTTGGGCTGTGCTTTGATAGATCACTATGTCAGTCAGTCACCTTTGAGTTTTATATATATAGATGGATATTGACAAATGCAAATTGAATGTGGTGGCTAATATGCTGACGACGTTCGGCTGGCAGCGAGACAATTAGCCGTGACCCGTATGACCCTCGTGTGACGTCCTGCCATGAAGCACTGGACATCACGGTGGGCCCTGGACACTTGACAATAATAGCTGCAGTAATCTTTGATTTCTCTTGAGCTCAATGGCGCAGGTGGCTAGCGCGTTCGGCTGCGATCGTTGAAGTTAAGCAACTTTCGCAGTGGTCGGTCATTGGATGGGTGACCAAAAATTTACTATCTCGAGCTCCTCCGTGCTTCGGATGGCACGTTAAGCCGTTGGTCCCGGCAGCATTTGCAGTCGTTAGCACCCACCAATCCACACCTGGGCCCGAGTAGTGGGTCATGGCCCAATCTCCCTATTCCATCCATAGAGAAGGCCTGTACCCCAGTAGTGGGGACATTAAAAGGCTGATGATGAACCTTTCATTGTGATACACTCTAGATACCGTATTAACAGCACGAAAGCCGCAAAAATATATCTAGTACATATGGTACGTTTGCTCGTCTTGACTGCTTTTTTTTTAGTTAATTAAAATCAATAAACAGTTTCACAATAAATCTTATATAAAATATAATAACACCAAGTTTTTATAATTGAAAAACCAACACCGTTAACAACAAGTAATTTTTGTTTCATCTCAATCGGATATTTCGTTTAAAAGTTATCACGTGTGTAAGATGTTAAGAGTTGGTACCTATTAATGAGTTATGGGCCATAGAGTTTTTGATCAACATAAAATCCTGTAATAGTCTTTTTCGAAATATATTTATTGATGATTGTAAACGCGGGTGAAACCGCGGGGCACGGCTAGTACGCCTATATAGACCATTCCAAATAAACAACGCAAGGAAAACGGCTCATGTTCCGCGCAATGCGTGCGTGACCCTTATGTCAGTTTGTTTGAAAGCATATCGAGATGGTGCAGAAAGAAAAACATTAGAGATGCGGTCGACCTCGTTTGTCATATCAACAGCTTCTGAAGCAATATTAACTAACAGACCTAGAATCTAGGCGACAACAACTAGAAGCCATAGTTTTATCCTTACTAATATTATAAAGGCGAAAGTTTGTTTGGATGGATGTATGGATGGATGTTTGTTCCTCTTTCACGCAAAAACTACTAAACGGATTTTAATGAAACTTTACAGTAATGTAGCTTATAGATCAGAATAACACATAGGCTATAATTTATAAAGATATTGTGTGAATTGTCCAAAATATAACGATAAATGTCATTTAAGTCTGAAAAAATTCTGCAATCTGCGAGCTATTCAGGCGTGTAAGGATAAAATTGTCTAAAAAATATCCCGCAACAGCATATGTCTATCTTTTATGGTTGACTCACAATAAAGTCATTCTTTATAGCACAAGCCTGAGAACAAAAAGTATAGTTTACACTACAGCTCTACACCGAAGCGAAGCGAGGGCGGGCCACTAGTATGATATATATCACAGAGGGTTTGACTGCACCGAATTAGTGAATAAAATTGGCTATTTAATACCTAGGCGAACGCAGATGAGATCCTTGCGAAAACATTCAACTATTGATGCTACATCTTTATGTCGTATCAATGCAGGCAAGCGATCTGCTCTGCAGCGTGTTATAAACTTATACTAACGTTTTATATGATATAGACATCTTTGCTGTAAATAAATATCAATGTAAAAGGCTTATAAACGAAAAATTGTACTGTTAAATGTATGTAATTTTTTTTTTCACGTTGTAACTTTCAACAAATGTGGAAAAGTATTTTACTTCTACATAAATACTCTTGATAACATTATGCTTAATTTCGATAAAGATTAATATTACGATACACATTTAACGTAGTTCTTTTTTTCTTCTGTGTTCTGTCTGTGTCACAACATCGGTTATTGTGATTAAACCATGATAGCTAGATATATGTTCTCGCGAACTTTTTTGTAGGTCTTAATGGGATCTACAAACCCGTAGTACATCATTTTGTTCTATTGTCAATAGTTTTTGCAGCGCACGCAAAAATTGGTTTTCGATTTTACACCTTTTGTTACAAAATAGCGATTCTATTACGGATCCCTAATTTTGAAAAAAAGCCTATAGCCTATAGCCTTCCTCGATAAATGGACTACCCAACACTGAAAGAATCATTCAAATCGGACCAGTAGTTTCAGAGATTATCGCGTTTAAACAAACAAACTCTGCAGCTTTATAATATTAGTATAGATAAATAAATCAAAGGCACACACAGTAGCTACATGAACAGAGCATAGTATTCCATGGATATGTGTTAAGGTAATCGCAAGCCTTGCAGACTCGCAGCTAATATCCTCTAATCTAATACAGCACTGTGTTGTTGTTGTTGTTGTTGACAAAATTACTTAACTTAACTCGTGAGCTCGACATCGAAAATTTATTAAACGTCAAAGTTAAAGCAGAGGTAAAGAGCTTACGTCGAGCTGTGGGCATACTAAATGGAGTAAAGTTGAGCATTAAAAATAACTAGCAAACCAGTGAACCAAATGTTCACAAAACCTGATTTAAAAAAAAATGTATTTAATTAATTGAGAACTTCGGAGATTTTGTGTGGTTTCGTTTGAAATTCGTGATTTCTCGAAAACCGGAAGTGCTACGTTGCTCAAATCCGATTTGTAGTCTTATCAGACTATTCTTAACTTATAACTTAAATATTCTCTTTATCTATCTCTTACGGTTTGGCCGCTGAAACAGCACCACAGACAGACGGACGGACGGACTTGTCTAATAGATAAGAGATATTGTGACTAACGCTCGAACTATACATAAAGTTCCACGTTTGACAAATCTATAGGCTAACCCATTGAGTTGT